CATACAATTTACAACTCAAAATTATCATCACAATTTCAACTTTTCATTCGATCCCATTTATATGATTTGGCATTCTTAAATTGGTTTAGTAAAACATTAGCAGAAACCAGTAGGTCTTGGGTTCTAATCTCGCAGGGGGCGAAGTCGTCGGTGCGCACTGCTGAAGAGTCCCACAATAGGATGAAACGGCCGTCCAGTGCTTCCAGGTTTTCCATAGTGGTTTAGCTTCAACTGAATCATGATCTTAACCATTGAAATATCAGAAGTGTCATAAAAATAAACCAAAGTCTTTAAGCATGACACCGAAACAATGTAATTCAACTAAATAACTTAATTATGCAATTATCAACAACTATTTTTACATAGCTATATACAACTTTTGGCTAATAAACCCCATCGCTACAAAATGATTGATAATTTTCGTATTACGAAAATCCATTTATAATAGTAGATAATGCATGGAGTTTATAAAATGTTTGTCTGTTATTACATATAAGCTATTCAGATCATGTTATAAGCGGAGATAAATTTAAGTCATCTTCAAGCATCGCACATCAAAACATAGTGCATGGAAAAACACATCACCTGGACCACTTACCATATTCATGCGAGCAATCTCAAACTAACTAATATTTGGGATGCGGTCTAGCAGTGGTAACCAGCACTCTCATTTCTTTTTATTCTTCCCCTATTGCTATTGACTTGAAGTAAAGCAACATTAAGTCAGTTATATCTTTTAAATTTTCAAAATAATGTCTTCTGTATAGTTATGCTTAGTTTGAACAGTGATTAGCGTTTCAATTTTACTGAATGACAAATTTGAACACTTTATTGTCATGATTTACTGTACGGATATGTTATCGATCTAGTTAACTTTTAGCTTAATGATTTGTAGACTTAGTTTTAACTTGTCAGTTATGTAATCGAAGGTGACTTTTACTGGTTGAAAATTTTGTAATAAGGATATTTCTTACAGTAAAAGATTGCATTGTATTTAGCCAGTAGGTTTTTCTCAAGATTCATTTACAGGTCTTTCCCAGTTTAATCAAAAATGCCATATGTTCGTATGGTTATTCATACATTACTTCGTATGCTGATTGCTCTGACAGAACCTGAAAAGGTGGATCTTTGGATGTTAGCACATTATCTGGACTGTAGTACATTGACTGCAAAAGATGCAAAATTCTATTCTGTCTTGTGTAAATGTGTGACTGAGCACATGTACAACGTTCTATTAATCACCTAACGTAGTGAGTGTTAAATGTCAGTCAACCGAGTATAAATTAAATTAGCGTACAAGCGTCTCCCACCATTCAACCGTTCTTTCTGAATTTCCAAGCTTTGTCAATAATCTAATCTTTAGATTAAATTCATATCCACATTACTTCCCAACGAAATTCACTTAGGTCTAGTCGCATATGCTCACAAATGATTTTTGAATAGAAATTTATGATTTAACTAATCAAAGATTACCAGCCTATTTGATTGCTCATAAGACAACTACACTTGAATACCTTTTCTTCATTTTTTAATATTCGATAGTGATTCTTGAAATTTTAAGCTTAGCAGAGAGATATAAGGAAAAGAATACTCTTAAAGATCTGAACGAACTTCAGCTTTAAACATACAATTAAAAAAATGTCGTATTGATATTGAATTACATGAATAGTATTGTTTTGTAACTAACCATATTTACTCAAATTGTATGTTAAGTAGCTACATTTCGTAGTATTAAAAAAGATATATTGTTCTACTCCTTAATTCGGTGTTGATAGTTTCTGGAGTTGATTTGGATTAAATTATGCTTTCAATAGTTTGACGCTATAGTTTATCGTTATCTTGTGTAATAGGTATTTAACAAACAATATAAAGTATTTTTAGCTTTTACAAATGACTTCATTAATAAAGTAATGATGATCTATCTATTCCAAGATTTATTTAATGTTCTCCTCGGTATTTTTTTAGTGTATAAAGTAGATACAATAGTAGGCCGTCTAAATTGATGCGATAAGCTATAATTTCAACCGATTTAGGAGTTCTTTTCTATGAAAACGTCCATATATTATTCAAACACTGTGAAGAGTTACGTTATTCGCATACAAAAAGTTTTAAGTCAAATCATTTACGAGCAAATAAATTGTGAACATATTGAAATGAGGTTTCACTTGTCATCCAATAAATTACAAGAATCATATTTAATGTTTGTTTACCAATTTCTCATGATTATTGATGAATCAAAGATGTTTTAATGTATATTTTTTGGATTTATTCAGGATACAGAATTCACGTATGAAATACCGGATTGTTTAATGGATGGAGACTATGTTGAAATTCATGGAGTTTGTCATGGTAAACGGTAGGTTATACTTAAATTACTATTTACAGCTTATCAACATAGTATTTTGTTAATATTAAAAAAGGGATTGAACTGATCGTCTTAGAAAGTTCACATTAATAATAATTAATGAGCTACTTAAATTATTTGATTTTCAGAATAATTTTATAACAGAGTGATGGTGATTTAAGTTGTTATTAAAAAAACGTAATTGGGGGGAATACAGCCTTGAAGATTCGTGTTGCTGAATAGTACAACTTACTATTTTCTATGTATTTAAAATATGGTTGCCGAAAGTTTGAAAATGCATTATTAACGCATGATTTTCATCATATACTATAAGACAGCAGCTAATTACCAGGACACCAAATCCAGTTCACATTTATATATTATGAATTTAGAAATAGTAGAGAAATAGGCTCATAATTTTTAAACTGAAGTCAAATAATTAAATGACAGTTTTCTGATTTTGAATAATTTGATTTTCTTGATGCTGCATACTCTAAGCTAGGTAGTTTCAATGTCGATTTCGATGACATTATCAGAATCCACGTTAATTATATTACAAAACTGATGAACAACGACGAAAGATTCATAATTCAATCATTTAGCTGTTAAAATAGTATTATATCTTTCTTTCATATAAATACACCGATAGTGATTCACTATGACTATCTCAATGAACTACAATTTATTCACGTTGAGATGGTTTGGAATAATCAATAAAAAATTCATTATTCAAATGTGTTTGTCTCAAATAACAGTAGAAGGTATCAGGGTAAATGTTAATAAGAATCATTTAAAAGTTGAAGAGAGATCCCTTCGCTGAACTTAGTGTTTTTAATGTTTAAATGAGAATTAAATGTTAATCTGTTTCTAACGCGGAAAGTGTAATGATTACATATCGTTCATTAGAGCAAAGATAACAGAGACACACAGGCCAAGCACATAAAAATCCACATGAATGTAATTAGCAAGGTCATAGATAATATAGAAACAGAAAATTCATATAATACTTGACCAGTTTGAAATAAACCATTAAATGAATAGAGTTGTGCAGAAAAAAATAGATTGCATAGAAATATAAAAATAACTTCTACAACACTTCGAGACCTGTTTTTGCTCCTCTATACTTGTACAGATAACTGTGGAATATGCAAGTGCTTACATCTATCTTCCTAAAAAGCATGCAACTGAAACAGTTTTTTTCAAACAATAGCAGTTTTTGATACTGATTGTTATCCACTACACAGATCGGTTATATTTCAACTGAATGGTTCCCAAGCATGGAATGTGATAAGTGAAGTAGAACCTTTAACCACAACCTCTGCTGAACATAGACTCAGTTGAATTGACAAAACCTGGTAAGTAGCACATAAAGTGAAACACACGCATCTAATGGAACCATTTAAATCACAGAATGTCATCGTTAGTTTTCTGTCCTAAATAAACCGTAGCTAGTAAACAATTTTTTTGAAAGATATACTTGAAACCATTTGTTATACAATTAAGTAACTAAGAGAACAAGGAACTAACTAGGAATGGTTGCCCATATCCCAACTTAATTTAACAACTTTTGAATCCTCTGGAAACAATATCGAATGATGCCAATTGTACATTAGTTTGTGATTTAATTTGAATTTTACATCAAGTATATTAATGAGATTAGAAAATTTTATTATATAAAACATAAAACTATTCACCTTTATTTATACTATCTATTGTTTAAAATTTCTTACAGAATAGTTTTTGAATTATTAACAGAAGAAGCATCTACTCAAAATATATTTGATAAATTACCTTTACAAATCATTTTAACAACAGATGGTTTAGTAACTGTAATTAGTCGTAATCCAGAAAAGGTAGCAAAACAAGAACGTTCTGTGGAAAATGGAATACAAATTGATAAAGCTTTCGAATTATGCGTACATGCTTATAAGAAATGTTATGTTGTAAGCTGAATAAAAATGAATGTTTTATTTTACTAATATTGGTCATATAATATATTATTTTTAAATATTTTCATGAATTCTGAGTATATGTTTTTACTAAGTGACCTATTATTTTGGACAAATTCAAAATTGCATTTGATATGTATTATGTATGTATAATGTATAGTGTTTCCTTTTCACATACATCCTACTTCTTAAGGTATATTCTTAAAGTGATCTATAGAAATTTAAGATAGAATTGTTACGGTTGTACACATTTGTAAATATCAAAAACTGTGCTATAAAGATTACATCTAAACCATTAAGCTTAAATATGGAGTTTTATTGATTTTTCTTTACTAATACAACATATACATTTATGAATAATATCAAATAATCTATCTAGATATTTGTCAGGAAATAGAGGTTATGAATGGTATTTACTTTCAGCTGGTGACGATTCATTAAGCGGCAAAAAGCTTAAGAATTAAAAGCTTTGATTCCGTTTGAAGTCCAAGTTAATTCAAAGTGATTTGTTCCTATGGTTACATACTATCTAAGCAATATAAAAATTAAAATAAGAGAAATTTATGGGTTTACTTTATATTTTGTCTTTTTTTGTTTCATCTAAACCAAGTTTAGGCGTTATTGGAGTACAAAATTAGAAGTTTGGCTACTTCTCTCAGTTTGACAAACTTATTACTTAAATAATATTACAGGGATAAAAGTTCCATATCATTTGCTAGTTTATAGTCCATATTTAAAAATTTATATAATTCGCTGTCAGGCATTGTCATTTAAATATTATTAGATCACTAAAATGGGTTCGAACATTGAAACTGATACTGAACAGTACTAAGAATAAAATATTCATGTGTATATGGATAGACCTAAGGATGAAGTGTTCGCTGTTAATCTGCATGAAACTTTGTCCAACCATTGACAGTGGATATTAGTGGGTACTTCTGAACTTACCTAATTACTTACTTACGCCTGTTACCCCTCATGGAGAAGCATAGGCCGCCTACAAACACTTTTCATCCAACCCTTTCCTGGACAATATGTTTCAGTTTCTATTCATCCTTTTCATGTCTGCTTCCAATTCTCGACACAGTGTGTTATTTGGCCTTCCTTTTTTCTGTTTCCCTTCAGGATTCCAAGTTAGCGTTTGCCTCGTGATGCAGTTTGATGATTTCCTCGATGTTTTTCCTATCCACTTCCAACGTCTTTTTATAATTTCCTCTTCATCTGGAAGCTGGTTTGTTCTCTCCTACAGTAGGCTGTTGCTGATGGTATCTTACATATTCAATTGTTGGTAAATACTCATACATTCAGCTCCATACAGTAGAACTGTCTAAACGTTCGTATCGAGGATTCTCACTTTGATATTAGTTAACAGTTGTTTTGAGTCACATATTTTCTTCAACTGTAAGAATGCAGTCCTTAATTTGCCAACCCTCGCCCTTACGTTTGAATCGGATTCTCCTTGTTCGTCGATAACGCTTCTCGGTTACGTAAAATACTCCACATCTTCCAGAGCTTCTCTATTAGGTGTGACTGGGTTAGTGTTCTCTGTGTTGTACTTAAGAATCTTGCTTTTTCCCTTGTGTATGTTGAAGTCTTCTGATGCAGAGGCTGCTGCTACACTAGTTGTCTTCATCTGCATTTGTTGATGTGTATGGGATGGATGGGCTATGTCACCTTCCAAGTCAAAATCGTCTAGTCGCATCCAAGCTGTCTTTTGTATTTTGTACTCTCCATAAGTAGTGGAGGTCTCCATAACCCAGTCAACCACTAGAAGGAAGAGAAAGGGGGAGAGTAGGCAGCCTTGTCGGACTCCAGTTCTTACTTGGAATGCAGCTGTCAGCTGTCCACATGCACTACTTTGCAGTGTAGCCCATTCTAAGAATTACGTACAATGTTAACGACCTTTTCAGGTACATCATAGTGTCGAAGAAGGTTTCATAGTATTCTCTTGTCCACACTGTCAAATGCTTTATCATAATCAAAGACGTTGATGTTTAGTGACTAGTCCTACTTGACTGATTGTTCAACAATGATCCACTTGTCTTCAATAGTAGTTTCTTTCTCATGTAGTAGATCTTATAAAGCCTGGAACCTGTTACTGGGAACTATCTTAAATTAATTATGTCAGTGTCTCGAAGGAAAACTGTACCACGTCCGTAGTGCTGTTTGTCCAGTTGTCCAGTGTTTCTTTAGCTTGATTTTGTTCTTGACCACAACCAGGTGGTAATCGGAAGCTACGTCGGCTCCTCTACTGGTTCTCATATTTTCCGCTGTCCTGAATTTTGTATCAATACAAATATGATCTATCTGGTTCTCCGTGGTGTGATCTGGTGACACTCATATAGTTTTATGTATACGTTTGGGTGACAATATTTTGCTGTCCATAACCAATTTGTTGAATGCATAAAGGTTTGCTAATCTCTCCCCATTTTCGTTTCTCTTTCACAGTTCGTGTCGCCTCATGATATCTTCATATCCGGTGTTGTCCATTCCGGCTTCAGCTTTTAGGTTTCCCATCAGGATTTTCGGGTTTTTTCCTGGGGGCTTTGCCATAATCGATCGCAGTCTCTCGTAGAATTAATCTTTATGGTTGTCACTGATATAATTGGTGGGTGCATAACATTAGATAACATACATTGTAGCTCCCTCCCTCTTTGTTTTAAAAGATGCTTTGATGATCCTAGATCCATGAGATTCCCATCCTATAAGTGCGTTTCGTGCATCTTTGAACACCATTAGACCAAATCACTGAGTGTGTGAAGGATTTTCCTCTTCATGACCGGAATACAGCATCATCTCTCCCGTATCTAGCATTTGTTGTTCGGCTTGGGTAGAATGGGTTTCGCTGATCCCGAGTACTGCCAAGTTGTATCTCCTCTGTTTCGTTGCTATTCGACTGGTCCTCTTGATCTTTCACATTGTCCGGACGTTCCATGTAACTACATTAACTGTTAATCTGGTTGCTAGAAAGGACATTGGCTTCGTAACGTCCGAAGAGTCTCGGCTTTCATCACTATGCGTCATAATTCTTCCTTCAACTCCCAGGAAAGACTTTAAGTTGTTTATTCTGGTTAGCGTTTTTCAGCATGGTTGTTTTCTACGGAATGAGGTTGCCGACCCCATGCCCAACCCTCCTCCTTCACCGGGGCTTGGGGTCGGCATTAGCCTTAGAAGAGCTACAGGTGGGGTTAAAATATGGAACGCTTCAAGATTTCGCGTGTTATCCTTGAGCAGGAGCCATGACGATCTTCTATATCGTTCCAATTTTAGTATATGTACCGAAAAAGTGAGTACTGCTGAAGTTGTAAACTAAATCTAAACAGCTATTCAATTCTGCCTGTATATAGGGATATTTCTGATGATGTCAATTGTTACCACAAGCAACAATGGCCCAAACTAGAATAATCTGTGTTTATAAAGAATATTATTTGCCCTTTATTTACGGGAACTACCAGAAATACTAAGAATAGAACAAATCTTTTTTGTTGCCTCAAGTATACATAAATCGTAGAGATACAATTTTCACTACAGTTCTTTAAATGGAAAAACATGTCAACTTTATCAGTTATCTAATAAATAATATCTTTTACCCATATAGATCAAGTGCGTACATACGTTTTCACATATCATTGTAGCCCTGGTAACATAGTGCTTGTTTATTAAAAAAGAATTCATATATGAAATGATTTTCTGTAGACAGCCTTACTGTCCATTTATCTAATCACCTTACAACCTGTCATTTTATATTTGTTTTCGCTAAACATATTATTTATTCATTCCACTAATCTTGTATCATTCATCAGCGAAGTGAATCATTTTTCCATGACTGACGGATATCAATTGGGATAAGCTAACATTTTTGCATTCATATTTTTCACGAACTTGTTAACACGTTAAAACTTCATAACTAGTACTAAATAAAGTTTTTGTACCTCATGGTGATCATTTATTTTTGAATTGTGTAAGCCGACAACAAAACCTTAAAGAAACATAACTAATTAAATACAAACTATTTTCAATGATTATTTCATTATTCATAATCAAGTATATGTATCATTTTTCTTCTGATCATCATGTAACTATTCAGCTATAGAGTCACATCATTTTCGTTTGTCGATTTTAAATAAAAGAAACATTTTGCCATACACAAATATCCGAGATTTATTTGTTTTACTATTGTAATTGTTAATTACAGTGTACAAAAGTAACTTTTTTTGAAAATGTAAAACGATATGTACTAAAACATATTACGGATACTATGACTGTGATATCCTTACATCTTAAGTAAAATAAGAACGTTTCATGTGAATTTATTTTATGGTAACTTTGGTCATCATATTCATTTTAATGGTTTAACAATCAAAAATACAAATGTTAAGTAAGAACTAGGGCTGAATTTCTGTAAGTAATTAATCTGACAATTGATCCAGATCGATTATTGTAATGTGTCAGGATGTCACTACAGAATCGTGATCGCTTAAAAATAATTAAAAAATGTGTTTAACATTTAGTTTTATAGTAAGAAGTAATGTGTAATACTTGTTCTATAACTAGTTATCAACTATATTCTATGGCTAAATTTTAAGATCTAGACTTTAATCCCTGATCCAAATTCCCAGTAATCAAATCCTTTAAATTGGGCAATAATTGACATAATTAAGAATATATGCTATGGTTCATACATCTTTCTGCATTAAAATTGCCTAATTGTTCAAACGAACTTTGTGTTATATATCGTAAACTCATCAATCTATTACTGTGTAGTGAAGATAATAGTCAATATTCCACAGTTCTGGAATTTATAAAGAACATATAGAATTAATTATATGTCCCCAGGAAGAAAGAAAGACGATAACTGAACTTGAAATATACATTTATATATTTCAAATGAAATTTCATTATTAATTTTCAAATCATTCAACTTTTCTTGTCCTGTTCTTATTCTTTCTCTCGTTCTATAGGTTAAATTAAACGGGGAGGACGTTTGTGGTCAAGATCATCTTGTACCATTGAATGAAGCGTTTGCTTTATCAATGCAAGGAAAAGTTGATATATTATCTCTTGAATTTAAAGACATGTATTATGATGAGGAGGAAATGAATAATAATACAAACATGTCTTCTGCTAATAATAACAGTAATAGCATTAGAATGGATGATGCACAAGCAGGCCTTGTACGTGTCAATGAGTTAAGACAAAGTTCCATACGCAGAAATGATCCGCCAGTGATGGTACCAACAAGAACAGGTTCCAAATTGGAGAAACAATCAATAAAAAGTAAAGATAGTAATCTAGAAGTTACTGCTTGGAAAACGTCAAATGATTTATCTAGAGCATATTTAGACGTTGATTACAAAGTATCTACATTAGATCGAAATTCTGCAGCCCATTCATATCGTAATAGTATTGATTTTAGTCACAATTCAGACTCAAGAATTTCTGGAACATTACCACCTCTAGGCAAGTCAGCTAATGACAGAGTATCAGATTACGTAATGGGAAGTCGAGGTAACCTTAATACAAATGATGCGTCACATATAAAATCGAAAACATCTATTTTTGGTTCTCGGAAATCTGCTACCTTAAGTAATAGTAAAATTGAACAACGTTTTAACGAAGGCAGAAGTCAGACAGATGCAGGCGATTTACACCATGGAAGCTATTCTGTATTGGATGACGAAGATCACATAGGATCTCAACTTTCTGCTACAACATCAACACCTAACTTGCAAGACAAACATAAGAAAAAACGATTCAGTTTACTTGGAAAGAACAGAAAATCAACAGGCTCCGAGTCAGATGTACGTAATGACTCTAAGAAATCCAAAGGATCTACTCCAGACATAAGGTTGAAAGATGGCGAAGGCGAGAAAAAGAAGAAGGGTTTACATTTAAAAAATCCTTTTAAACGTTCGAAAACTAAAGGTACAGTCAGTATGACCATAGCTAGATTAGTCAAATAAAGTTACTGTGGATGAAGAGAATTTCACAGTGTTAATGCGTACTAATGACTATTATCTCATCTTTATCGCTCAATCCTTCTTCTCTAACTAAGGTATAATACTTTACAATTACATAAGTACATTTTACATTTGATAAAGCAACAAAAAACATATGTAAAAGTCGTCAGATTGACAAATAGCAGAAAATTGTGTTATCAACTGCCCAAACACTGACAATAAAGTTGTCCTACTTCAGATCAATACTACACTAATAAAAAGAGTAAATCATGATTATAACTAACTGAGAGCATTGCTAAGCTATCTGACGGGAGTGATATTTAGAATCTAGTTTGTGTAACTAGAGCTTTCTGGATATTTTCAATGTCGAACAATTTCCTGAATAAGGTTTTTTCTGTTCATGAAGCGGTTCCTATAGCAGCTGATATTAGATCCTATTTCAACTGGTTTTTAATAAAATGTGCCTACGTCTGTTGTGAAAAGATCGGAATACTATTTGTCTTCGATCGAGCCACAGTTTTGTCTTCTTGGTCTCTAAATTGTTTGAAAGTTCAAAAAATAGGTTACTAGCTAACATATCCGTTCATAGAAAAGTTTAGTTGAAAAAATCAGTTTTAATTCGATTCTTCACCATTCAATCATTCATGGGTTATACGGTTTAGTCAATCTCATAATTTGTAATATTATCCGTTCATTGATATATAAATTTAATCATTTCAGTAGTTTTATATGCTGTAAAAATCCAATCACTTTTTATAATAAACACCATGATTATTGTACAAACCAATCTCAATAGTACAAACCTCTTTATTTAGAAAATCCAGTTATTATCCATAGTAGTTTCTGGCAAATTAATTTTGAGGGGCTACTGTTAATTAACCAGATAATCCTGATTCATCAGAGTGGCAAATCTGAAATTCTGTATGTTCCTTAATGCAAATGTACTAAGTATAAGGTTTATAAATACATGTTTCCAGCACGAAACCATTGTTCTTAGCTTCCTTCACTTAGATTATTCTAGGTCAGATAAGTCAATTGGATTTAAGATTTTAAAATTTTGTACTTTTGAATTAAACTACTAAATTATCTCAAATCCACTAGCTTAATAATAATAATACCCCTAATGTTGACTAACCCCGAGGAGGATTACTAAAGTTCTAATGAGAAGCCAAGATTAATAGGACTTAACTATAGCTATGGAAAGACAATATGAAGATAGCATCAATCATGTAATGATCTAAGTTGAAAATGTAGACCACTTAATTGTGACATGGTAGTATGAATATGAAATATTTATTACAAAACCAGTAGATCTCGGCTTTAATCTTGTTTCAGGTCATGTGTGAGAAATTCTGAGGAGTCCTTAACTATACCACACTCATTTTCGAATGATACTGATATGAGTTTATTAGGAAAATCGAAATTAAATTAAGCAATCTAACAGAATAAATATAATTACTTATGTAGGTATCATTAACAAGGTTTGAATTGATGATTTCGCCTAAACTGAGTATTGGGTAGATTGTTATAAGTAAAAATCATATATTTGTAATATCCTAATGAGTAGAAAAATCGTGTTTCTGACCTTTCGTGATCTAATGTAAGCCAATTTTTCAGAGTAAACAAATAACCGACATTAAACTTGTGTTAAATTAATGTCAGTTATTTATTTACTGTAAAGAAGTGGCTTACATTAAGTCACGAAACAACAACTCATTTGGATATAACAAAATATATATTTATTATTAACTCTTTACCCAATGCTCAATCTAATTGAAACTATCAAATCCAACCTTAGTATGGATACCTATATTTGAAACAATCTTGAATTAACTAATATTAGCTATTAACCATTAACTAAAAAAAATAGAAGACAATTCCTATAGAATATATACAATTGTTCATTCAGAACTCGTCTTTGTAAAAATCAAATTATTTTTATAGTAATTTTGTATAAGTTTTTTTAGGACCTAAACAACCATTGGAGAATAAATGACACGTTGGGTAAGAATACTGTAGGTTCCTTTCCTTGAACTTTTTGATTTTAAATCAATATAAAATCTGTAAAAAAGTAAATTATTTAAGTTTACTTATTGAAAAATAAAGTATGATGGCTATTGAAATTTTGTTCTGAAAATTTTGTTCTGTATGATTCATTGTTATCAAGTAACATTGTTTCATGTTGTTACGATTTCAGATCAAACACCTTCAGTATCATCAGATCTTGCTTTTACTAGGAACACTATACATCCGGCAATTAATGTAGCTGTCACTGAACGATTACCAAAAGAGATGTCTAAAAAACCAGCACCTGAAATTGCAGCTTATCTCCACAAATCCAATCCATCAGCTGAATTTGATACACTTAATTTAACTGGTCGTGAAATATTGAGTGAAGATACTCATTTTGCACCTTTTGATAGGAAACATTATGATGGATATGAAAATGTTGGTAGTTCTTATGATACATTTAAACACAAGACGTTGAGTGACTCAAGAAAATCCATCGAGATTTCATCTCTAAGTGATTTGCACTCACAAGGTAAACTTAAAGGACCAGCTCCGGAATTAGCAGCTTTAATTCACTCGAAGCATCCTACTTCAAATCTAGAAGATATAACCATTGCTCAAGGTTCAGGCTCACATATAAGACCATTCACACCAACAGACCATTCACCGAAGCAATCAAGATATCATAATGAACCTCCCTCTGATATTGCAAATTTAAAATTAAAAGGTACAGCTCCTGAAATAGCGGCGATAATAAACTCGAGAACTAAAAGTCCCAACCATGAAGATGTAACTCTTACTCAGAGGTGTGATCAAAACTTCCATCCGTATCCTACAGTAGATACGTCAGGAAAAAAACCTTTTAAGCCGAGTGGAAGTGCATCAGAGATAGCTGCCGATATACACAAAAATAATTTAGCAGACCATCGACCCTATGCAGATTATACCCTAACTGGTACTAATACCAATGAAATGCACGTGAAAAAATATGTACTAAAAGAAAAAGTGCAATCTACACGTAAAGCTCTTTCTTTAAGTGAACATATATCAGATGGTGATGAAACAGAGAGTGGAGGCAGTGAAGTGTATACTGACAATGAATGCTACTTAGAAGTAGGTAAAAGTGAATATTATTTTGATCGTAAACGTTCCCTGAGAAATTATCGTTCTAAACGATCAACGAAATTGGAACGTGAAGCTAGACGTAATATGGGGTTACATAGAAATGACAGTCAAGAATCAGTCAGCAGCAGTATCTCATCGCTTAAACCAACTGATCGAAAATTGACCCCGAAATATAGAAAACGTCCAGGTACTAAAAAGGAAGAAGTCTCATCTTGGTTGAGCAGCTCTAATTCACGTAAGGAGATTTTTTTCACTTCCTATTTACTCTTATGTTCACGTTATATCATAATTTTTGTGAAATATTTTCAATAATAAAAACTATCATTTTGACTTCGGAATAACTTATGAGCTACGAAACTCTAAGAGTTATTTATATTGAAATGTAATATCCAAGTTACCATTAATTTATATGTAGAATAATTAATAAATAAATGTACCTGTACCCGATGATCTTTGCTGCTTTTCCTAAGGATCAAATCATGCCTAATAAGCTATTCAGTATCAAACTACTGTCCACAAGTTCACCGACTGTAAAGGTTGGAATTTTCACTATTTTAAATGAAAATCGCATGTTAGAATAATAACTGTAGAAGTTGTAGATTTATACAAATATTTTTTGTATACTAATAAACTAGTTGAAATCCAGTAGAAAAGAGGTACTTTTGTTCAGTTTTTGCTTCGTTAGAGAAATTATGGTTTCTATGAAGCAGTCGAAAACCAATTATTTTAAGAGTAATTATCCTTTCTCATTATACGGTTTGGTTATCCGAATCATCTGTATGAATGTACATGTTTTTGTTTCAAAAATTGTAGATATTGGAAAGCAAAGTACGAGGTGTTTTACCTACCACTTTTTAGCTTCCATAGAGAAGCTTTATAAATCGACCTTTGTCGTACGTTAGTATAGAAGTAGTCATATAGTACATATTGAATATACTAAATACTTATGTGCTCAATATTTTTCATCATTTTAACTTCACTGTTATGTTAGGACTAAGCTGTGTCAATGTTTTTGAAGCATTTAAATATAAATGTTTGTAAACCTACATCTTTTGTAACAGAGCTACATTGGAGATAATAATTATCATTATTGATGTTTACCAACTGTACAACTAATAATCTTCACAATAAAATAAAATTAGATTTTACTAATCTTAGTAAAACTACACAGGTATATACAACACTAATTTTTTATACATTTCTTTTAGCCTATAATCCAATCCGTATAGATGGGCATGTATATCCAAATTATACATCAAATGTTTACGCTTCAGCTCCTATTGTTCATAAACATTTAATTCAAAACTATTTATCAAAAGATATTATTCAGGTTAGTATTTATAGTTATTTAACAATAATTATAAACATGAGTCAATTGAAGCTAGATCATCATGGAAAACCTAGAAGCACTAGATGACCGTTTCGCTTTATTGCGGGACTCCTCAGTAATGCGCATCCACAACCCCGCCTCACAAGATTCGGACCCAGGACTTATCAGTCTCGGGCGCGAGCGTTTAACCACTAAACCACTGAGCCTTCCAGCATCCAGCGGTGTTAATGTCTAACTTCAATCAATTCAGTGGTCCAGTGGTTAAGCGCTTGCGCGCGAAAACTGATAGGTACTGGGTTCGAATCTCGTGAGGCGGGATCGTGGATAAGCACCCTTGAGCAGTCCTACAATAGGACCAAACGGCCGTCTAATGCTTCCAGATTTTTCATGGTGGTTTAGCTTCAATTGACTCATGATCTCAACCATTGAAATTACTTTTGTATCCACAAAAACCTTTCTGATAATAATTATAAACACTTAAAATGATCGGATATAGTGACATGAATGGTTCATTTTTAAAAAAATATCTATAAAAAAATTCACTAAAGAATGTATTACAACAATAATCTTAATAAAGTTATCTAATATGTATAGTAATTAATGAATTAAACTTCATAAATGAAATACCGTTGTAGTTTTTTTTAAATTGGTTTACATAGTGTCCTAATGGGTTATAGTTTCTCATAAGATCTTTATTAACCCAGATCATATTCTTCTATGATAATGTTTTTCTTCTGAATATTTGGCAAGTTGGTTATCATTTTTTAATTAAATTTCATCTAATTTAAGATTTTTATTTGATACAGATAGAACTACCGTTTTTTGTATATTAACTACATTGTAGGTTAATTTATACTTCATATCGTACTTTATCTATCTATCTATCTACCTAAATATATATAAAATCTGTAATCACAGTTAAAACAATGATTAAACCTTCATTTTTCCAAATCATTATGTGTGTACATTATTGTTTATTATGTAATTTTGTATTATATTGAAGACTTAACATTAACAATTCAGCTAAAATGAATTTATTAGGATATCAGTTTTCAGACACAAATCTGGTCGAAAAGTGTTCCAATATAATAATGTTTGTGTTATTAGACAGAACTATATCATACCGTTTATAATTGTTTTTCGTACTTGCAAAATGTATTATATAACTCATTTTGGTTGATTACACAATACAAACGGTAGTGAGTCAATGGAGTTTTTTTCGTCATAGATACGACATAATTCAATCCACTTATGATGTTAATTCATGTTCATAAAATATTGATTTTTAAATAAGTTTGGCAAAAAAATAGTTCATTGTGAATCCATCAACATTTTATGATGACCAATGCAACAATATAGTAGTTTCAGTAGGAAAGTAACAAATATATACATTTTTGAAATGTTTTGCTTTATTGTATTATAAAAAGATTTATTGTTTCACCTTTCTGATTATAATCATGCTTTTATTTTAACTCATTGTTTTATTAAAGTCAATAAAATGTGATAGCAGTATAAATTTACCACATCCTCTAACAGTTGGACGAAGTGCATTAGTTTATGGTCATTTCAAGTACAATTCAGCTGTACGCCAATCCTGTTTAATAAAACTTGAGTTTAACACCTCCTGCGAAGAAGCTAATGAATATGAAACACTTTATCTTCAATTGTGGTCTGATGGTAGTCTAGATATTTTGAATAGCCAATCCATCAATAGCAAAATTCCATACAGTTCTTCAAATGATATTCAATATTTAACACTAAAAGATAATGAAGTTTGCAATAATGATAAGCAACAAGTAAATTTCACTCTGAATTTCATATCTCAAAGCTTCTATACTGCTGTAAGTTTCAGTTTAATCATATTCTTTATTATTTTTGCATTCTTGATAAGCTATTTGACGTGTGACATTCGGTTTCCTTCAATGACTATAAAAGAAAACATCTACTGATAACTTATTGTATATCAAATTCTAATTCACTTAGTTCATTTACACAAGCAGATAGAAATCTAGTTACTGATATCATTTTTTTATTACAACCGCAGTATATGAGATGAATTACAATTACAAATGATAAAAAATTTCGTGATATCTTTGAACATACCTTGTAATATAAAGTGGTACAAGTATATGAATTTACAAAAAGATCAATGGATTTAATTAGTTGATAAATAATATGAAACAATTAGGATGTTATAAAATATGGTTTCTTGTGAGTGATGAGTGTCTGTATGACCAAATGGGTCTAAGCTGAATCACCAGTCTTATATAGGAGAATCATTATCTCCCAAGAGGTTTATATATATATATATATATATATATATATATATATATATATATATATATATATATATATATATATATATATATATATATATATATATATATATATATATATATATATATATATGACAAATCTATTTACGCGTGGAAGCTAATTTGACAATTCAAACAACATTTTACAATAAACAATGAGAACTGTACAAATAGAATGAAATTTTGAAGGATGTGAATAATAACAAAGACTATTCATAAATTGAGTCCAAATTAAGCACCTCCGCATAGCCTCCCCTTAGAGTGTCCTAAGGTGAAAATAGATTTGCATGTGCTTAGTTGTTAGATAATCTGTTCACTATGAGTATATGTGCATGGGGATCTGACTTCAATTGTTTCCTTGTTTGTAGTGACAGTTTGGCAAATCCTGTTGAGTCGCCATTCAGTTTATCATTCTCGTTAAATAGTTGTCTGGGTTAACTTAGAGTTGTGCCATTCACTAGTTCAACTGTCGAACACTGGATATTTTTGTTAATACTAAGTCGGATTCTCAAAAGAACAAGTCTCAGTACATCACTGCATTTTATTGTATTCGCCTGTGGCATAAACGAGTTTTTTAATTAGCGATGGAATCTTTTCACTAAACTGTTCAATGTTGGGCTGTTTTAGTGATATGGTGTACTCCTAGAAGTCAACTTAAATCACGGAATAAAGCTCATTGGAACTACGAACTACAGTTCATAGTTGTTGTAGATAGAACACTGAATTCAGAAATTAAATAGTTACAAAATACATAAGCGATTGTCTCTTGCAAGATACCTTTAGTGAGGAGTACTACTGCCTATCTATTGAATCACTTCATTGCTATACATATATCTGTAGACGATTATCCTATAATCATAAATTTGTGAGACACTGAGAGCGGCTGAAAATTATGTGACATTTTTTAATTAATAAGTAAACAGATAGTGAAAATCATTTTCTTTTAGCTTAAAAGTAATGAAATTACAATGTATTTAGTGATTTTACTTAACTTATGAATCCGCAATCATTTTCCAAGCTTTACATTTTTATCACTAAGTGTAACAACATAAATTACGTTTCCTTATAAATTCTAAACCACATAATCTCTAAATATAAGTATCAATTACAAAGTTATGAATAAGGTTGTCATTAACAGCTGCTATCTTTTCAACTGTGCATAATAAATCAAAAGTCCATATATAGATACCGATTAGTTGAGCAGTATCATATAGTTACATGATATATATTGTTACTTAGACAGTTAATGCAGCATAATTATGTGGGCAAGTGAATCAATTACAAAATTCAGTTGATTTAGTGGCACAGATACATTTTTCTAAATTTTCTCATCATGATTTTTTTAGATCTATAGATGACGTCAAAATATGGTTTTATCAATTCAATAGTTTAATTCAGTCTTTTATTGGAATCATAATATTTAATGGTTAACCAACTAGAAAACATAAATGGCTAATATCAAGTCGATATTGCATGAGATGTAATTCTGTAAAAAAAAAACACACTTTGGTTGCCAACTATGTGACCTAGAGAAAAATGTAATCATGTATACATAATTTAAAAAAACTATAGATTTTACTCAACTGATTGAGTAAATTTTTTAATTTTATTAAAGATAAAAAGAGAAGCTGACTCAGTTTACACAGTTTTTTTTTAAAACCTTCAATTGGCAATTAGTTGTAGAATAACTATTGGTGATTTTATAGAATTATCATTGTTTACACTACGCATTCTTTATGTTGTAATCATTTAGATTGTAAACTTAGTCAAACTATATTTTAAGAAAAAAAGATGTTAGTTATTCTGAATTATTTCACAGATTGAAATCATGAGTTAGTTGAAGCTAGACCACCATTGAAAACCTGGAAGCACTGAGGAGTCCCATACTAGGATGAAACGGCCGTCCAGTGCTTCCAGGTTTTCAATGGTGGTCTAGCTTCAACTGACTTATGATTTCAATCTGTGAAATTTCTAAAATCTCCACAAAACCCATTCTGAATTATTTCTTAATAGATTGACTAAAATGTTGTAAGAATATGATTTACTTGTATTTGTATTTGTATTTAATATACTGTTTAGATTACTTCAAATGATCAATTTACATTAATTTTGAAAAACCAATTCTTGAAATCTGCTAATTATCACTTGAAATCATTTAAACTTGAAGATTCAACAAACGCCAAGTTGGATAAACTTTTTATGCCAAAGAATTTAGTAAGTCTTTTTTTTCTTTTTATATTGTACAACTTGTTACCTTAGTTGATTATTCAACTGTTTTAAGTTAGTAATCTAAAGTGAGCTGACTTAATGTTTACCTATAGTTGTTAGGGTATATCGAAACAAATTTCTGGATATAACTAAGTTTTTATAGTCTCATTTAATAAAAAACCCTCACCAAGTGAGTATAATTCATTCAGTTCAGCTTAGAAAACGTGTATATGACCAGATCAGGTATGGGTGTAACATGAGTTTTATGACGACTTTTATCATAGAAAATATTGGTAACATAATGGCTATTGAGAAACCGTTCAGTTGGTTTTCAAGACGTCACAGTCGTATACTTGAATCCACTCTGTGATATTATATCAAATATCTGAGTTTATAACAAGTTCAGATTTCTAGAATAGTCCGCCTATTGGTTGATATTCAAATCTAATAGACATTAGGTTATTATGAATTATTCATTTATATCTCAATAACTAGTCAGTAGTGTGGTTTCGACTTATTTCAAGAAAGTTCTGTGTTTAATGATCGAACAACCAAAGTGGGAAGAAACGATTACGTAAAGATGATTAACATATTCAATTGTTGCATATATATTCTGTGTAATAAATTGACTGATTAAATAGTTTATTCTACATAATTCACGTACAAAAGTAATAGATTGTGTAACGTTCGTTATAAATCATGATATTAAATGCTAAAAATGCTTAAACATTCATCGAATAGTGATTTTTATAGTTGCCTTAATTATATTACGTTAAACAAGTTACTTGAACCGGAATCAATTAATTCTTATTATTTTAATGTGAATAAAAGCATGTCACCTATGTAAAATGTATATGTGTACTTTAATCTTTCGATTACTAACTTTACATACATGCCTATAAAACTGATTATATAATGAATACTAGCTTTGTGACGTTTTCCACTTAAACTTATCATGTGACACAAAAAACGGTTCTCAGTAGTTATATATACGGTAATGCATAGTCTCTTAACTTTTCATATCAACTGACATTGCCAGATCATGGTTAATGATTTGAACCTGAAAGATTTTGTGAAATTTTCAAGGAATATACCTATGCAAAGGGGTAAAAAACGAAATTGAGATAAATAAAAGTTAGTCAAATGAGTTAATTATAATGTATTGTTAAAAGTTAGCAACAGAACAATCATTATTATGTAATTCTAAGTTGGTCATTTTTAAGATTTCTATAAAACATATGGCATACAATCTATCATGGATCACAGTGTAAAGTGATTAGTAAATTATCTCAAACAAAAAATCAGTCAGAATTAAAGAAATAAATGACTAATTATTTTTTAATTAAAAGAATTCCTAATCTAATAAGATAGTGTTTTAGTATACTTCGTTTAAAGTAACAAGGTGATTGCAGTTTTTATAGAGCGGCATTATGGTTTACCGATTTTCGAACAGAACTGCAGAAATGCCTTTGAATTCTTTTGATTTCATCTTGGGATAAATGACTTCTTTTTCTGCAGCTTACATACTAACACGCTCGAAAACTATTGTTTCCGATCGCAATATGACAATAATATCGGATCCATCTTCTTAGAATTAGATCAAAAGAACTGTATTTTTTCTTTGAATGTAGTTATTTCATCAACCAAATTCGGTTAAAGAAGCTTGTGTGTAAATCTTTGTATTTCATAATAATCCATAGTTTCATTCTATAAATTATTTCGAAATTGATGTTGGCAGGCTGTGGATCATAAAATTGAGACTCAATGTTTTAAAGATATTTTATTATATATCAGAAGTAATCGTACTGAATCCGAACATACGTAGGATGATGTACTCGTCATTGCTGAACTAGGAAAAGATGTACATTCAGACGAACTTAATTTTCAGTTATCTACTGGCCATAGCCCATATTGATAAAAACTTTGAATTGGGTAATTTTCATAGACATCCTATCTCAACACTTATCTGTTCTCATCGCACTTATTGCTTTTTGCACCATTTCTATTATGCCTTTGTTGTCATAATACAATTTTGAGATAATTTATTGGAGTTTATATCAAATTAGGTTTTACACAATCCTACTGTAAATATATGATAAATCCGATATCCTAAAGCCTGAAACTGAACCAGTAGTAAATAACTGAATAATTGAGCTACAGTCAAGAATTCCCTTTAAAAATTAACATGCTACTAACACACGTTTTGTATAAAATAGAATAGAGTGAATACGACTGTAAATAAATTAATATGAACGAGGAAACTATAAAAAATCGATGACACTTAAAAACGACAGAACTCTGCCTAAAATTTGTTTTCACATTAGTTAACCACTAGCTGTCACACCTATTCTTAATCCTTATCTAGTTATAATAAAAATTGGATTTGTATCAAACATAGTAACTTTTCCCATTTTTAGTTATTAGTATGAGCATAATAATTATGAAAACTTGATTGATAACTTTTATGTAATGAAAAAAATAATGTTGTTCAATCAATAGATGGATAAAAATTTAGGAAATATATTCATTTGAAAATTAATGAGGGATTTTAAATAAGCTGCTTATTCAAAAATCAAGAGGCGTTCGTTACAATGTTCTTTTCTATCCTAATAATACTTATTTATTTACTTACGCCTGTTACTCCTCGTCAAGGAGCATAGGCCGCCCACAAGCATTCTCCATCCAACACTGTCCTGGGCAATCCTTTCCAGCTCTTTCCAGTTGTTATTCATCCTTTTCATATCTGCTTCTATTTCTCGACATAATGTGTTCTTTGGCATTCCTATTTTTCGCTTCCCTTCAGGATTCCAAGTTAGTACTTGCCTCGTGATGCAGTTTGATGATTTGTGTAATGTACGTTTTATTCATTTCCATCGTCTTTTCCTAATTTCTTCTTCACCTGGAAGCTCATTTGTTCTCTCTCCTAATAATATTATCATGTTAATATCTTTAGTCAAGTATTATTTAGTAAAAACTAAAAAACAATATTAGAGTTTGATAATAATTCGACTTTATCATCTAGAAGTAATGCATTGGCTTAGATAAATATGAAGTAATTTTGTAAAAGAATAGGAAAATTACGTAATAATACATTTCAACAATGATAATGAACTGGAAAAAAAAACTAAATATAGGGAGACAAGAATTTTGCCTTGAAATAAGTTATGTAACAAATTAATAAGAACAAATTTCTGTAGATAATCTTTCATTCAGTATTTAGGAACATTACAAAGTGGTATTTTGCTTTGATATTGCTATATTATTACTACTTAAAAAGTTATCTTCATTTTACATTGAGTATTGTATGCTGAGAGTAGGGTAATTCAACAAGATCAAAGTAGTAGTAGTAGTAGTAGTAGTAGTAGTAGTAGTAGTAGTAGTAGTAGTAGTAGTAGTAGTAGTAGTAGTAGTAGTAGTAGTAGTAGTAGTAGTAGTAGTAGTAGTAGTAGTAGTAGTAGTAGTAGTAGTAGTAGTAAAATTATTCGGCTATAATGTTGTCGCTCTCCTGTCGCCCTTGACAGATATGGCAACCCGAAAGTTACGAGAATACCATCAGGGCATACGCAAGGCTAGGTACCCTAATAATCTCGCTGACATTCAACAGAATATGTTCACTGAACCCAGTCAGAATTTATTTGAATGAAAGGAAAATATATATAAAGAGATCATTAAAGAACAGATCACTTTATCATTAAATCCTCATGATAAATATTTACAAAGTTTATATTTTATAAATTTCATCAATTCTAATACCCCTAGAAATAGCTCTACTACTTTTTTTTTTCCAAGGTCAATGTTATCCAATTTACATAAAAATCATTATATGTTTTTAATTTTATGTGCACTAATTTAATACACCTTTCTAATTCATTGTTCACCATTAAATATGAATGCATAAATTAACTAGAATTAATTTATTTAATCAAATAGTAGTGTTTTATTTAAGTGTTACATTATCGATATCTATTACTATGTAAGAAATAAAAGTATATGATTTCTCTTTAAAGATTTCTAATTAAGAAGAAATTACTTACTATTGTGAATGAATTTAGATAGATTTTCACTATTTAGTTATTATGTGTAGTTAAATTATTAACAATAAATGTCATAAATGTTAAAAAATGGTAAAAATTGGTGAATATATAGGATAGAATATATCTGAACTTAAATATCGTCCGGAATATTTATGATTTAACAATATGAGTTCACTATATTCCTTAAATTTAGTGTTTTTAAACTGTTCAGGTGGTAAGAATATTGATGAAACAAGTCAAATACTTATATTATAAGGTCGTTAAGACGTTCTGTGTAGACATATCTTCTATACATTATAAACTTGAGTTGACCTATTCTAACATGGATAAACTGGTCCTAAGTAAACCATGGTTATAAGTTAACTTTTATGTCAGCTACTAATATGTCAATTGTCTGTAATTATAAATGTTATAGCAACATTATAGAACTTTCTAGATCACATTTGAACCCACTAGCAAAGCAATATTCTACCACATATTGATGTGTTTAAATAAATTCGTACTAAACTTTCATTTCTACAAGGAATGAACATTGTTTAGAGTAAAAATTAAAATACGGTTATGATTCACTTCCTACAAGTCACTTACAGACTCATTTTAAGTTCTGTTAAAACGGACGTTTTTTATTAAGACACTTTTTATCAATATTTTCTTTCTTTATTCACATATAGTGTTTACCACTTATTCTTCATATGAAAGATGTGTCCAGTCAAACAAACACATTAAATCTTTTAACAAAACTAACTGCTGATACCAAAAGGTAAGTCTTTTAGATATTTAAAATGTTTATAATTATAGTTACATATTAGTCTCTAATTGTAAGAAAATGTTTAATTATGTATAACTGCATGCAGATTAATGGCGTTCACATTATCAAGTGCATTGTCAATAACTCAACGTAGTACAAAAAGATGAAAGAAGAGTGACAATAGATGAACCTGGTTTTAATCACAATGAATAATCCGGTGCTTTAATTGAAGCAGTGGAAAAATGAAGATATGAACTAGGAGTTAATATTTTATTATAAGTGATAGTATACTTTCAGCTAATTGCCAATAAAGTTGATTAGATTATGTATTTATAGTATTTTGTTTTAGTCACATTATAACAGAAATAGTTATGAATTCACTTCATATTGTTTACTTATATCCTTTCATTGATGTTTAGGACTGCGATTGATCAGTCTATTATTGGTATATGTGCTCACTATGCATATTGCCTTAATTCACATGCATGATAAGCAAAGATAGTTAATGATAGCGGTGGAATCTAGGACGCACGTTTCGTTCTATTTGGGACTCGTTAGCTGGATGTACCTACATCTCAGGGTTCATGTTTATTCAGTGAATTAAAGCAATATCGAGGCAATACGCATAGAATACATATGTCTCAATAAGAGACTGATCAATTGCAGTACTAAAAATCAATGAGAGGATTCAAGTAAACAATACGAAGTGAATTTAAACTTCACCTCATTGCACAAGTAAGTGGCTATCAGTACTCAGGAGCTAAGTGGATAACGCGATGTCGTTTAAAGTGAACGGTACTGGGTTCGAGTCTCTGAGTGAACATCAAATCTGAGATGCAGGTACATCCAGCTGACAAGTCCCAGATTGGACGAAACTCGCGTTCTGGGTTCCACTTCTGGTCACTATCCATCTTTGTTTAGAAATAATCATGGTTATAAATATACTTGTTTAACTTCTAAAATAAATTTATTTAAGATGGTTCTAGTATAAATATTTTACTTGGCCTATTGTTAATAGATATCTGTAATACATGACGTTTTAACGATTAAAAGTTTTCATTCTTAGTTGTCTTATTTTAAATTTATGTTATACAATATGAAAAAAGTGCCTAACTTCTGTTTGAATGCCATTTTAGAAAAACAAACTAGGGTTAGAATCAATTCATTATAATCAGATATATCTATTAGATAAATGGTTAATATATATATATATATATATATATATATATATATATATATATATATATATATATATATATATATATATATATATATATATATATATATATATATATATATAGTAATTTTATGTTTAAGATGATTTAGGCACAACAATAGTCTTTGTAAAAATTGTAATTATTCAAAGGGATAAAACTAGCATTATCAATACACTAAATAAGTGATATATATTTAATGTGTTGTTTAGAGGTTTTGCACTTCAAATCAGTTAATTTATTGGTGAACTTTAATTCTCATCGAGTAAATTCAAACGACAGATGTAAGAGAAGAATATTATTTTTTTTTAAATTAAATCGTCATTAGTCGTTTTCTAGTCGATCAATGGTTAGTGTCCAACTAAAGAACATATTTATTACTAGGTTAGCGAGTATCTGCTTGCGCGATTTGAACATGATCATAGAAAATTCTTACTTCACTTGGATCTATTACACTTTGTCGATAGTGTTTGTGCAACGTAAACATTTACAAGGTTCAAAACGGCGCATCTTATTTTTTTAAGTTCTACCAACTGAATTAGATCTCGTTTTTGCGTGTAACTGCAGGCATGGGAATCAGAGCTAAAAACCCTTTTTTGCGCCCATAAGATGTTCGAAATATCAGTGTTCACACATCAAGTAGTCAACGCTATTACAATAAGTGTATTAGATACATTTGTGCTCTGTACGTCTATAAAGTAAACAAAGCTATCTTCTTTTCACTGCCTTACTAACCAGTGTATAAGCCCCAGTTTTGCCGACGAAGCGTTTTGATATTCACCCAGTGTTATTTATCTGAAAATATATTGTCGTTTATATATCAAAAACGAAGTCCGAAAAACTGTGTAGCGGAATGCAATGCGTGTCGAAAGTGAGATTGTTTTCTCATTAAATACTTTACCAAAAAAACAGAATACACAGAAAACTAAATGAAAATAAGAAATGTGAAAAGTCACAAAAAAATCTGACATGACTGCGGTAATGAAATTAGTGAAATGCTACTCCTTTGAAGTTGTTAGTTTTTATTCACCTGAAAGTAGACTCTACATTGGACGATGAGAATTACGTCATTGTTTGATCTAAGGGTAGGAGGAACAAGAATATATGAAAATACAATTTCACTCTTAGAAGAATTAAATTTTTGGGGACAAACCATAACTTAATAACAAACGATTAAACTGAGTATTTGCTATAAACGTATAATATAGTAAAATTGTACTGAAATTTCTCGACTAGTGTTAACCCTGAATAATTTAATGTTACATAATTCCAACCTAATAAATATTGATTTGATTCTCATAAGTTTTAATTTGAGATCGCATATCCTAAACAGTATTTTGACCTTCTTCTCATGATTAGTGAAAAATCTGTTATCTTACTATTAAATTCTATTTAATACTCATCATAATAAGTTATGGAATGTACTTCATCATTATCTCTAACCTGGAATTCCCTTGATTAGTGTAATATTTTTATCCATGAATATAAATATCATTGTATATTGGAGTAGTAGATTTAATAAAAATTTCAGTAACAACAATCTCGTTTTCCTATGTGCACTGTTCTAATTTGTCTCTTGATTTCATGTAATCTAAACGTTTCTTCGAAAATTCCGGTTGATGTTCAGCAAACAGTTTTATTTAGTTTACATTTTCAAAATTATTCTATTTAAAAGCGCATTGCTGATCAACTTCACACCTTTAAGACTATATTTTGGAGAAACAGGAGTAGCTTTCATTTTAATGAGTGGTGAGTTATTTTACCTCAACTTTCATTAATTCGAAGTACCACTGAATTAATGAACTTTTAGGAAAAAAAAAGCTAAATGAAAGATTATATTTCGTTTTGAAATATATATACACATAGACATTACCATGGTAACATTAGGAGTTCTGTTTACCGCTAACAAAATATCTGGCTTTAACATCATCATCCGATATAAGATTCAGTTTTGTTCATCTGATGTTTAGTGATGCTAACTAGTGAATCAGTCAGTCAGCTACAACGTAGGACCAGGCACATATTCGCATCGATCCAAGTTGCCATACCTCATTGGTACAACAAGATGAACACCAAATTCATGGAAGTAGTGAATTCAGTGGTGATAATATATAAAGGAAAGACTGCATTTAAGGATATGATACAGAAAGAAAGGTATAAAGCAATTTTAATCTCATGGTCTAAGGGAAGACAAAGAGTGTATATACCTACGCCGTTGTGATCGTTTCTGAGCCATGTCACCAAGAGTCTCCAACTGTTGGGTGCAGTAGTTGCGTGCACCTCAACCAAGTAGTCTGCATCTACTAACATGGCTCAGACCAGAAGTTAGTGACTTTATAGGCTGATGTTACGTTTTGGTTTGGCTGCCCCAAACTTTCTTCCAGCCATCCCTAACACTGGTCAGTATTGCGCGTCGTGGTAATCGGTGTTCAGGCATACTTCTAACAGCACTCTAACTAGTGAATAAAATTATTTGAAGTTGATTTCACTTATATCTTAATCAATAAATCTACGTAACTCAGTGATTACTTAGTCTGTCATTTCATCTAAGTATTGTTAATTGGTGATGCTTAGATTGTTTTCATTTATTTATGCTAAATGGAATAACTTTTTACAGTGTAAGCATACTTTTGTGTATATCTGTTTTTGCATGTGATAAAAGTAGCTTTTGTTTGACTATTCACATGTGTATGTATCCATAGTAAAGTGATGATATTTATGCCAATATCAGTGCACTGAAACACATTCGCTATTACACAAGTGACACATTACAGAAATTTATCACTCTAGTTTACGCACATACGAATAACTTAAATCATATTAATTTGATCATATTTATTCTGATTACAAATATTCTTATATGTACTGTGTAAATAGAAAAACACAATGGTTTAACTAAAATCATATAAGATATGGTTTATGAAAAAGAACTAATTACCTTCATTAGTAAATATTTTAAAATGAACTTTAGTGAATCTATAAAATGAGCTTGTTTCGTGTGTATGTCAAATTGCATAAACATGTTCAGATCGTTCTGTTATTCAAAGTTGTTAAATTTATTATCAAAATGCAAAACGTTCTTTTACTGATTAGTGATGAAGTGATGTTGATTTATTATCATCGACATGCATGTTTATTCGAGAAAATGATCAACGTTAAGGCTAGGATTTAAGTTTAATTAGCGCTTAAGCATTAAAGTTCCAAATCTTTCTACTAACAAGATCTTATTCCAACTGTGCAAAGTCAATATGTAAATTGAATCTTATAAGATGGAATAAGATAACGATGTACACAAAACGCCATATAACTATTGGGCTTTTCTCTATTTAAGACAGAATGTATATAATGTGCTGAATCATACCTAATTATTGTCATTATTACCATCTTTATTTTTCACCTTTCTTATAATTAATAGACTGTTATCTTTCACACGTTTTGTCTCATTTTATTTTATTTTTCTAACTTCTTAATTGATATGCAATCTTCTTCTGACATTAGAAATTGTATAATCTTCACTTTCGACGTTTAGTATGTTCAACTGTAACATGTTACGCATCTGACAGATGCAGAAAACAATACAAGTACACTTTTCACTTCAAAACCATAACTTTTATTTACAGTATTAAAAACGCATGAATTATACTTTCAAGTAATTGCAACTCACGAAGTATAACATTTTACTTTCTTCAAACTCATAACATAAACATCAGCTTTACCTTGCATTCTAGTGAACTTCACGATCAAAGTTGCACAACCTGACTTCTGTATACAGAACTTTTTTTTACATTAAAAGCGTTAGGATAAAGAGAGATATCTATCAGATATTTACTATATTAGAACTAGAACTTTCAGTTATTTGACCATTTATGCGTATGCAGTTGTCATTACCAAAGTTTGACTTTATATTTTTAAACGACCTGAGCATTGGTTAGACTGTTACTAATACAAATGGTATATTTGTAATATCTCGATCAGTAGAAAAATTGAAATTTGTGGTGTTTCATGACTCAGTGTCAGAACGTTTTTGACGAATAAACCCAAATTTAAATTGTACAAAGGAACAAAACGAAAATATGTAGTTATCAGTATAGGGTTGTTGAGATTATTTAGTTTTGATTGAAAGCGCAAATGGACCAATGTTAGACCGCCTGGAAGCACTGAACGGCCATTTCGTCTCAGTATAGGACTCAGCAGTGTTGTTTAAATTACAAAAATAACTTCGTTACTTAAGCTTAGTTTTGTGATTTAAATTCTATCTTATAATTATTTTCTCTGTGTTGATAACTTGTTGAACTAAACTGTTTTGTTTAACGAATTGCTAGTACCTCGTTCTTTACTCGTACTAATATTAACCTGACTCATTAAACCACTGCAACAGTAACATGAAAAGCCTGAATGACACTGTTATGCATATAATATTTTTACTTATGATTATCAATTTTTATAGTTTCTATCACATACCGATCTTAGTTAGACAGCCACTGAAAAGCGGGAAGCCTTGAACAGCTATTTTATCCTAGTATGGGACTTCTCGAAAGTCTAGATCCACAACATCACAGGGGGTCGAACCCAGGACGTTTATCGTAAGAGAACACCTTTCAATAAAGTTTATCTACAATCTTATAGTCACCTATTTATTCGGAGCTGTCGACATTTGAGTTATTTGAAAGGCCACTGTCCGTTAGCAAAATTGAGACTTTTACAGACTAATTATTAGTTTATCTATAATTAATGTCATACTGTATAGATCTTACTGATGTTTATTTTTACAGAGTCATCATCGAATATGTTTATAAACCTATTAGTAGCTCTAAATTTATCTCAATGCAAATCTTACTGAATTTTGAAACAAGTTACTTAATAATACAAGAGATTGCAAAAGAAACAAATAATATTCAATATGCTGATAAAGAAATAACATATATTCCTGAACAGATATGTAAAATGAAATTCAGTTGGTACAATAACACACTAAAAGTAAGTGACTTCGCCAATTTCATTTTCTATTTAATTGATATTTTTGTAATCACCTTTAATTGTAATTAAAAATAAATAGAACAACAATGGTTGAGATTAAAGTTATAAAGTCAAAGTGTTTCATCAAATAATTCAAACCTGTTTTTATTAAAGTTAACTCCATGTTTATGAGTTCAGTGATTGATGAGTTTTGTAATAGCTACATTTTCAAAAATTATCAACTGAACATTCTTATTTTCCCACCAGAAATAGACTCGAGAACTGAAATCTTAGATGTAGTACATAGATTTTAAACATTATTATATGTATATCTAATTAATTGATATTTGTAGCACAAAATGTTTAAAATTACTCTTTTGTTAGTACAGTCTGTGGTCTTATCCTTACTCGAAAAGATTATCTAAGCAGAATCTTGTTCTAGTTTTAGTATATCATTATTCGTTTATGGGAGATGTATTTATGAACAAATCATGCGAATTGAATCATGAAATGCTGTAGTTAGACTTTCCATATTTTGAAAAAAATGTACCTGAATTGAATCATACTGTCATCATTAGTAATTAAGTTGCACATTATTACTATTGATAATGTAAACGAATACTTAGGTGGGGACAATCAATTTGTTTGTAGACATAAGTACCATACACCACACTATTAGTAATATTGTACGGCTATTATCTTGAATAAATTTCATTTCTACCATTTATGGAAATCAAATTTTTTACTTTTCTAACAGAAACTGAAAATTTACTATACATGACAGCTCTTTCTGAAGAAACTAATTTTTTTCATTATAGTACATACCTTTTCAATTATAACTTGAGAGACATTTAGAGCTTTACTGACGTTTTTCATTTGTATTGACAAGAAATTAGACTTTGTTATTTAGTTCTACTTTTCATCCATAGAAATTTTTACTTGTTCCATAAGCTAAAACAGTCAAGAGATTTCCTATTGAAATATGAGTTAATGTCCTATTTTTAGTTGTACTGATAATTAATCTGATTTTACATTATTGATTCTATTAACTTGACTTTATTATTTTTTAAATCAACACTGTAAACTTTATTTCTATTATTATCTTTACTTGTAGGTACTTCTTAATAATGACGAATCAATGATGTACAATTTTGAACAGTATTATCCTCTTCAATTCTTATCACATATTCGAATCAATGGAGATTTCATGCTTTTAAATGCAGAACTTCAATCGGATGAATAATAATAATCATTTATTTAGCCAGGGTATTTACAATACATGTATGTCTCCTAGCAAAAATGAATGCAAATACGATACATATATACATATATACATTGGATGATTCGTGATGTTTTAACCATGACTGATACTACTAACCTTATAAAAAAAATTAAGCGTATTTTCCTTATTAATTAATTAATTACTCTACTCTACTTTCTTTTCTTTTCGAATATTTCAAAATAAAATTTGTTAAACATTATTTTATAGTTAAAGTATTCTCTTACTGATGTGTGTTGATTGATACACAAATGTGTCTTATTCATTATTCTCACTATTATTATTATTATTACTTTTAATGACAATACACTCAAACTTTTAATTTCTAGAAGGTTCCTGTTTTCTTTTTTATTTCATTGAAATCGATATGATTTTTCATTATTATTTTATTCAATAAATTTATTCTATATCTTGAATATATACTGATTTATCATATTATTCAATCTATACTATGATTAGTTTAAAAGATCTGTTCAGTATTGTATCGTATTGATAGTTGACCGGTATTACCTATACATTTTACTAGTTGTATTCATTCAATAAATAAAGTATTTAAAAGTAATTAGAAGATAATAATAATAATGATGACGAGCTTTATTTAGTATAGTTTAAATGTTTTCGGTTATTTTCGGTTATTATTATAGTTGTAGGTAAACGTTTTTTTGAAAAAAATCGTTTTGTTTTCTCCTAATTAACTTCACTTTCTATTGTTAATGATTTAATTTTCTTTTTTTTTTTTTCGTTTTCCACTTTAACTTTCAACTCATGATTGTTTTAATTTTCACTATTTGTGAAATGAGTAAATAACATTTTACACAATTAATAATACAACAATAAAATGTGAAGGACAAAGTGGTTGTTATGCATAACGAAAATAAATTTTTTTTACAAAAAAAATAATAATAATAATGTGTGCTTAGATATAATTTAGAAAGAATGTTTATGGGACAGTTAGCAACTATGAAAAAAAAGAGTGAAGATAATAACATTTCTAAATACTCTCCATCTAACTAAAAATATTGAAAACTGATCATATTTAATCTGATTTATACAAGATTTTATTGAACAGTCAATGTGTCTGTATGAATAGTTAATATCCGTATGAAATTGGTTAGTGTTGAATTACTATTTCTATATTGATTAATTTGTGTTGATGTATTATAATCAGCTAGCAATTATATTGTAGCACTTCTATTTCTATTGTATTTTATTCGAAAAACAAAAATTCATAAAATATATTTATAGATAGAATCATCAATGTATTTCTTTTCATTTTTAATCATTAAAAAGGGTTTATACATTAAATGAAATATGTTGATGATAAATGATGATTGTAAAATTTATTAGTTGACCTATGAAAATATTTATTGTCGGAAGTGATCTAGAATATACAGATTATTTAATTTAATCATTAACTCACAAATCGATATGAAAATAGATCATCAGATCCTTCATTTCGTGATGTTGTTTGAAATTAATGCTTTCCAAACAAAAACAATACTTACTCGAATCAAGTGAAGTTATAAAAAAATAACATGCTACGAATGATCATGAATATATTATGTTAAAGTACTTGATGATCATTATCAAAATGATTTTATTGACAAATATCATAGGGATAGAAATAAGAACTCTGAGTTAAATTTTTTTTTTTTGCATGGATTTAAATTATATTTTGGTAATGCAATGAAAAGAAGTTCATCAGAATTATGTGATATATTTGCGCAATACATTTCGAACAATTTGGATAGACAGACACAATCCTCCATTGAGAAACATTTGGTTGAAACTGGTCATTAGGTTGACATCAAGTCAGCATGTGTAGTGTTACACAAAAGTTTTAAAGGACGTATACTAAAGTGCATTAAAGCCTTGGCTATACGCAAATTGAAACCCACTTTATGTGTTCAAAAACAATTTGTCCTTAAACTTAGCCTACCCTAGTAGTACTGATTTATTATCCAGAGTGGTAATCACATGGTTTTTGTGTACTTTATTATTTTTCCTTTGTTATGACTTACCCTTAACCTGTCTAGTTGACCTTTTAATTTTCATATATAAATGTCTTAACAATTATATGTGTGATCAGATTGTTCGAAATGTATTGCGTAAAAATATATCACATAATTCTGATAAACTTCGTCTTCCCATTGCATTATCGAAATTTATCAAAGGGACTAATTGCTTTAAATTTTATATTTTGGCAAACAGATAAACAATTTGTTGGAATTGTATTTGGGAAGAATATCTTTCTGTAGACTGTTTAATAAAATAAAAAAATAATAAATTGTACAGATGAATGGTACGGTATTGTACATATGTTTTTCCCCACAATTTCACTTTGTTCTGACCAAGGTTCTACTTGTAACCTCTCTATTTTTGAAGTAACTCAGTAATAAACGTTTTCTTCGTGTCCTGTTTTAAAGTTTAAAGTAGGTAGATCAGTGCCAGATATATCCAACTGAAGTTGAGATCTATTAGTAAATTTTCGATGTAATAGTATATCTGAATGGCTATTCTTGCTTAATAATATAATGATTCTTCGAATTTTTTTTTATCTAAGAAATGTTGTAACTGATTATTTATTAGAATTTGTTTAAAAAAGTGAAAGTTTTATGATTGTCATAAAATTTATCTATGTCTTTGCAAACAATTTGTCAATATCCCATCTTTTGATTTAAAATGCATTGGAACTTTAATGGCGTTGTGTTAATTTCTGAAACTGTTCTAATTAATAAAAAAAATGTATTCACAAACTAAACATTTCCTGACATGAAACAGATTAGCAGGAAGTATTTCTATGATAAACAAATGATAAAAACTAATAATGACAAGTAAAAAATTTTAATAAGATATAATTCTGAAACACATTATATTCAAGTACAAACGGAAGTAAATTACAGTAAATAGCTTACATATAAACAAGCATTAACTACATATGTGTATCGAATACATTATTAAATTTTCATACATCTGACATATATCTATATAAGAAATAGCATCTACATTGTGGTGAGCATGATCAAACAAACATCCTACATTAATGGATCTACAAAGCCATCCCTCATTTAATCAGTATCATCAATAAAGTATCACTACACTTTCGAATTGATTGACTTTGGAGGTTACCGATTTTTCAATTAAAACTGCAAGAAACCTATTTCGACACAAACTTATAAATCATTAAAATATTTATGATTTTACAAATAATTTTGATAAAACGAGCAACGATTTTATTTGTGCCCTTGCTGCATAAATAAAAAAAGCACATAAGACATTAATGTATAACTTTTGTAATCCTATGTCAATAACTATGAAGGGAATACGCTTACGAAATTGATCAACATAAACATACATCTTCATTTGAAAAGAAAAACAAACGTAGAAGCGTATTCAATTTTGAAATTAAAAGTAAAGTATTGTACTATTTCGATTGTGCTTCACAAATAACCCTATATTTTTCTTCGTACTGTTAAAGAAACAATAATTTAACAAATGACTTTCTGTAATATAAGATTATTTAAGTAACAATGAATAGTATTGAAACTATTGTATTCTATTTAGAATTTACTAAAACAATGAAATCATTAACAATTCTAATAGACTTAACAAGTTCATAAATCAATATCTTGAATAAAATCAACTAATGAATTATTTTATTCATTAATTTTTATTATATTCCTGCCAAATAAATAAGATGTGGACAAATATACTTTTTTTTTGTTTTATGTTATGTATTTCAATAATATAAGCCCCAAATATTTTGGTTAATTATTGTGTACAATCTGAATTAGATCATTTGTCTTTAGTTTGTTAATTTTCATTGTGTTGGTTTCTTTTTTGTTTTGTATCTATGAAAGATAAAATTGTAATTTGTGCACTTATGTAGAAAAAAGTGTTATAACACCTATAAATCGTTAAAGTGCAGTATTGTATCATTATACAAAAAAAAAAATTAAAACAAAAGAAAAAGCTGCCAATCATCAACATAGAAAATAAATAAGTTTGATTACACTCAGTCGTGTGAATATCATAAGATTATTTCTAATCAAAAAGGGGGGGTATATAAATGAATGTGAAACAATAAAAAAACTATGTGGATATTTCTTGTTGTTATGGTGAATAGAAATTTTAAATTAGATATCGTTTATAACAACTCAATTGACTATTTCAAATGTCAAGAGAAATAATTAAAAAATTGGAAATGTCAATGATGCTAACAGACTTTATTTAATTTCCTTCAAGAGAACTCATTTACATTTTTGATTTGGTACTTTTAAATCTTTGTATTTTATGTATTCCAATTAACAACAAGAAAGATAATCATGATAATAATTACTTCTTACTGATTAAAAAAAATTATATAACATGATTTATATAAGTGAAATAATACATTTGTAATATCTCAATCAGTGAGAAAATTAGATCCTCTGACATTTCGTGACTCAGTGTAAGCCACTTATTCAGAGAATAAACCAAGTAGTTTACATAGACTGCACATAATAAAATGATATACTGAAATATTCATATGACTTGTACACTGAAATATATACCCCTTCCAAACAATATCGATTATTTTTTAACTCTGTTGGGGATAGACAAAATCGGATAAGTGATTTTTGTCAGTCAACACTGAACTGTCGATCGTTTCATGTATAGCATTCCAAGTAAACTTTTCCCTTTGTGATTAGTCTCCATACTGATGTAAACATACGAAGTAATTCATAACAAAATGTTAAGCAAATATTACTTAAAAGTTATCAAATCATGCTCCCTAGTATTTTCTTAATTTTATTGAATTTATTGATACTGTTTGTTGAATCAGATAAGAAATTCTTTGAAATAATGAGTTATACGTAAATGAATATCTTCCTTGACCGTCTAATAAAGTGTAAAACTTGGAATATATTACAAACATAAAGTAATATGATCTAGTAAATGGTTGAGCTTAATGCGAAAATAAGTTCTGATTTTTCTGATCATTGGTTGTATATCAATAAATTTAGAGGAGTCTCGAATTAGGACGAAATGGCCGTCCAGTGCTTCCAGGTTTTCAATAGTAGTTTAGCTTCACTTGACTCATGATCTCAACCACTGAATTTTAGATTTCTTAGATAGTTTGTAATTTAGTAATAATATAAATATATAAAAACATTTAATGCCGTGTTCGAAAATACAACTAATATTAATAGCGAAAAAAACAAGAGCCATGGAGTTGACATTTTTACTTCAGCAATTAGTCTATTATAATTATTTATTATCACATATACAAATAGGGATTCATGGCAAAGTTTTTATTTATAAACCTTGGTAAAACTCAACTCAGAAGTTCAATATTGAACATTAGTATATCATCGTTTGTTACTATAGGAAAAACGTTGTTGATGGCTATACTGATTATCTTAATATCGTCGAAGATATTATATCATCCATATTCTTTAAAGTTAATTTCTTTTAGATGAAAAACTGGTACATCATACTTTAACTTGATTAAATATTAGATTGCATTTAAATTGTTCAAAAGTCATATCGTTGATAGGACTTAAATAAGACTATGCAATCTATATTCACGACAGTTCTTAAAACTGGTTTATGAATAGCGAAATGTATTGAAATTCTACTTATCCGTCCAAAACATACATATATACTTGCTAATCTTATGAGCTGTTGAAAAACTCTATCATTATGGAAAGAATTAAACATTAATACCAAATTTTAATTATTATTCATCTTGATATGATTCAAAAACACCAGATCTAATGAAAGATAAAGAATAAAATTTCATATTCCTAAATAAGAAACAAGTCATAGCAAATTATCTACGTACATCAAGCGATATTGTAGTTGATATGTAAGAGAAACTATCCACATAAGAAAGAAAGCAATTGTGACTAGGATAGTACAATAGAATTTTCTTTGAAACTCATTTCAAGCAAGAGTTTTTACTGGATTAATGCTTCTAAGCAGTAAATCACGATATAGGTATTTCACTGTTGCATCAATAAATATTGTATTAAATAAAATTAATAAGGATTACTTCGTCAAACTATCTACTTTAAATCAGCTTACATTTTACTGAACTGCTGGTAATTCCACTTGTTTAACTCTGTGATCACATTTCCATTAGTTACATCATACCTCTGTTTTCAATACCAGTGTAATCCTGGATGTTTATTATTTACGGTCGTAATAAAGAATTATTTTGAGAAGATGGAGAACAACTATGGTTCAAAGTAAGGATACTGGAGGTGTTATGTT